TAATTGTTGGGACCAGCAGTTAGCGTAATGGCTATGTCGCTGGACTCCCACGTAGTCGACCGAGGTTCGAGTCCCGGACCTGGTGGCTTAAACTTAACGCCAGGCACATGTGCGTGCATGCCCAAGACCCCAAGAAGAGAATTAAGAAGGGATTGCAGCGTGGCCATCCCCCCTGGGGGGTGATTTCTCAATTTCTATCTCTCTGTTTCTCTCTGTCTGTCTGGTGAGCGCATGCACCATATAGCAAAAACCTCTCCAAAAAAAAAGAAAGAAAAAAAATTAAAAGTAATCAGTTGTTAAAAGTAAACAATTTTTTAGTTAAAAATATTAAAACAGTCAAAAGTATCACTTGGTATGGTAGCTTTCCCCAAAAATGAAAGCATGATTGAATATCTCCTTTTGGCTAATTTTGTAACTATGAATAGGTTAAGAAGATAATATCTTTAGCAGAATTTTGTGTGCATCTTTCCTTTGTGTGTACTCTGCAGCCTAAATCTGTCATTGTTGGATTAATTAAGGAGATGATTGCCAAGTTTCAAGAGGAACTTCCCCTGTATTCTCTACCATCGTCTGATGAGGCACGGCAGGGAGACTTGCTAGCCTATATTGCAAAAATCACTGAAGGTTTGTACTTCTGTCAGTAGGTTGCTTTGATTGTAATGAGTTTAAAATTTCTTACTAATATCCTGTACTCCCTGTTACTGTGTTTCAGTAAAAAAATACATGCACATGTGTGTATAAAAAATTCTAGTACATTTATCACAGGGTATTACCATGCAGTGTCAATGAATATGGTTTCTTAAAATCTAAAAAATTACTAGGGCCGGCAGGTGGCATGGTGGTTAAGGGTGCTGGACTCCCACATGGCCGACCATGGTTTGAGTCCTGGACCTGGTGGCTTACTTTCTCACTTTCCCTTCTTCCCTCCCTCCCTCTCTCTCTCTCTATCTCTCCCCAACTCTTGCTTTGTCCCTCTATGGTTAAATTAAAATAAATAAAGTTAAATAAAATAATTATTTTTTAAAAATAAAATAAAAAGTTACTTTTATACTAACAGGTAAAATAATTCCTGTTTTGTTCAAGGCTAATTGATATTATTTATAGTATCAAGTCATTTTTGTTATATGTTTATGTAATTTTTCTTATTCAGTGTATGGTATCAGAAGATCTGTGGTTCTTGGTATTTCTTACTGTGAATAATGCTACAAACCCATGCTTGGAAATTTTAATAAGGTATCCATCATTTTTTGTATTGTAGACCACAGAAGTAAGTATCAGAATGTTTTTTAGAATTATGGAAATCCTGGGACCAGCAATTAGCATAATGGCTATGTTACTGGACTCCCATGTAGTTGACCGTGGTTTGAGTCCCAGACCAAGTGGCTTAAACTCACGCCGGGCATGTGTGCGTGCATGTGTGCCCAAGATTCCAAGAGGAAAATGGAGGGGAAGGGATTGCGATGTGGCCATCCCACCCCCCGGGGGGTGATTTCTCACTTTCTGTCTCTCTGTCTCTCTCTGTCTTTCTGGCGAGCGTACACACCCTATAGTAAAAAAAGGAAAAAAACCTCTCAAAAAAAAAAAGAATTACGGAAATCCTGGGACCAGTGGATGGCATAATGGTTGGGTCGCTGGACTCCCATGTAGTTGACCATGGTTCAAGGCCCAAACTCAGTGGCTTAAAACTCACATCAGGTGGGGACCAGCAGTTAGCGTAATGGCTATGTTGCTGGACTCCCATGTAGTCGACTGTGGTTCGCGTCCTGGACCCGGTGGCTTAAAACTCACGCCGGGCGCGTGTGCGTGCGTGCCCAAGATCCCGAGAGGAGAATGGAGGAGGAGGGATTGCGGCATGGCCATCCCCCCTGGGGCGTGATTTCTCGCTTTCTGTCTCTACGTCTCTCTCTGTCTGTCTGGCGAGCGCACGTGCCCTATAGCAAAAACCTCTCCAAAAAAAAAAAAAAAAGACAAAAACCTCACATCGGGTGCATGTGCCATGCCTATGGAATCCCAAGAGGAGACTGGGGGGAAAGTATTGTGGTGTGGCCATGCCCCTGGGAGGTGATTTCTCGCTTTCTGTCTCTGTCTCTCTGGCAAATGCACATACCCTATGGCAAAAATCTCTCTAAAAAATATATATGAAATTTCTATTTTTTTAAGAACTTTATGTAGTTTTTTTTTAAAAGAATTATTTTACTTAACTTTATTTATTTATTTATTTAAATTTGACCAATGAGTAACAGAGAAAGAGAGGAAAAGCAAGTGCTAGGTCCAGGATTCGAACCACAGTCGACCATGTGGGAGTCCAGTACCCTTTACCATACTCCACCTCCCAGTCTCTTATATAGTATTTTTTTAAAAACAGTTTGAAGATAATTTCTTTTTAAAAGAATAGGCTTGGGGCCAGCAGGTGGTGTGATGGTTAAGGGCACTGGCCTCCCTTAAGGCTGACTACGATTCAAGTCCCAGACCTGGTGGCTTACTTTCACTTTCCTTTTCACTTTGTCCCTCTCTGGTCAAATTTAAATAAATAAAAAAATAAAGTTAAGATTTTTTTTTTAAAAAAGGATAGCCTTAAGGCCAGCAGATGGCATAGCAGTTCATCACTGAACTCCCACATGGTCAACCATGGTTTGAGATCTGGACCCAGTAGCTTGAAAATCACATCAGGTGCATGCACGTGTGTGCCCAAGATCCAGGCAGAAAAGAGATTGTGGCATGGGCATCCCCTTTGTGGGGTGTTTGCACACTTTCCTTCTGACCATCTCTGTTTCTCTTTCTAGTAAGCACACATGCCCTAAGGCAAAAACCTCTTAAAAATAAATAAAAGGATAGCTTTTATTTTAAAAATTATTTATTTATTGTGTTATTATTATTTATTTTTTTAATTTGACAAGAGAGAGAAAGAGAAAGTGAGAAAACAAGCTACCAGGTCTGGGACTCGAACCGTGGTCGGCCTTGTGGGAGTCCAGTGCCTTAACCACCATAGTCTTTATTTAGTAGAAAATGTAATATGAGATTCTTTTTTTTTTTTTTTGAGAGGTTTTTGCTATAGGGTGTGTACACTCGCCAGGAAGACAGAGACAGAGAGATAGAAAGTGAGGAATCACCCCCCCAGGGGAGATCCCCCAGGGAGATCCTGATCTTCTCAGGATCTTGGGCACGCACACACATGCACTCGGTGTGAGTTTAAGCCACCAGGTCCGGGACTCGAACTGCAGTCGATTATATGGGAATCCAGCAACATAGCCATTACACCAACTGCTGGTACCTCTCTCTCTCTCTCTCTCTCTCTCTCTCTTTTAATTGCCAGAGGGCACATGTATTCATCAGAGAGAGAGAAAGAGAAAATACTCTCCAATGGCGCGTGGTCACACCACTATCCTTTTTCCTCCATCAGGATTTTTAGGCTTATACACACACACATGCACACACACATGCCCTGTATATTTCTCAAGCTACCTCAGCCGAGACTTGAACCATGGTTGACCATGTGGAACCTGGCTCTCATAATAGCTGAGCCATAGGGCTATGCTGACTCCTGTCTTTCTTGCATTCATTTGTTCAACAAGTATCTCTTAAATGTCTATTATGGACTAACACCATATTTTCTGAGTTATTGAAGTCAGTTTTTTTTTTTTTTTTGTAAGAGGTTTTGCCTTAGGACATGTACACTTGTTGGAAAGAGAGAAAAAGACAGCAAAAGGGAAAGTGAGAAATCAACCCTCAGGGGGATGGCCATGCAACAATTTCTTCTCCAGTTTTCTTTCTGGGGTCGTAGGCATGCATGCACATGCACCTGGTGTGAGTTGCAAGCCACCGGATCCAGGACTCAAACCACAGGTGGCCACATGGGAGTCCAGCGATATAACTACTGTGCCATCTGCTGGCCCCTGAAGTCATTTTTTTAAAATAAGTTTTTCATTTAACTTTACTTGTTATTATTAATTTGACCGGGATGGAGGGCGGGGATAAGAAAGCAAGCTGCTGGGTCCAGGACTCAAACTGCAGTCTGCCTTGTGGGAATCTAGTGCCCTCACACACCACACACATGCTGGCCCTGAAGTCATGTTTTTTAAAAGATACTTTTAAAAGATTTCAAAAATTTTAAATTCTCAGGATATTCCACTTTTCTTTCTAGGTGTCTCAGACATAAATTCAAAGAGCTGGCCAAATCATGAAAATAAAACAGTCAACAAAATTACTGTGGTTGGAGGTGGAGAGCTGGGTATCGCTTGCACATTAGCAATTTCAGCAAAGGTATGTGAGCATGGTGATTATAAATATATCAGTCATGGCGCTGTACTTCCGGACAGTTTATGTTTAACATACACAAAAATAATGGCTTTATCTTGTTCTTTAAAAAAAAAAAACTGTCGTTTATTTTCCTTATCAGCCTTATTTCCACTTTGCATAACAATCTGTGGAAGGGGACCAGTAGATGGTGTAACAGTTACGTCGCTGGACTCCCACATAGTCGACTGTGGTTTGAGTCCTGGACCTGGCAGCTTAAAACTCACACCAGGCATGTGTGTGTGCGTGCGTGCCCAAAATCCTGAGAAGAGAATGGAGGAAAAGGAATTGTGGAGTGGCCATCCCCTGGGGGGTGATGTCTTGCTTTCTGTCTGTCTCTGTGGCGAATGTACACACCCTATAGCATAAATCTCTCAAAAAAATTTTTAAAAAGAATCTGTGGAAGAACAGCTTAAGATCACTTAGTGGTTGTTTCCACCCATTCAGTTTCCTGAGCTGGGGGCTGAGGAACAGTCTTCAGTGGCAGGCTGAGCACTCCAGACTTCAGTAGGGAACTGCTGTGGAAAAACCTCATTTTGCCTTAAAATATTTTTAGTAAGTTGTCAAAAAGTAGCTGAGAGCTACTTTCATTGTTGATGCTGCCTACATTAGTCATGGAATAGGCTTTGGAAAAATCTTATGATTTGAACAGTGGGCACATCCTCAACTAAAGGAAGCTTCAAGTTGACATGCATCTGACTTAGTCACAAATTCTGTGATTTCTGAGTCATGCCACTTTCATTAACTATAACTTAATATTTAATTTTAGTACTTTCTAAAATTAGCCTTTTACAAAAGGATTGCCTTTTCTTGTACAATTTTTTTTAGGATCATAGTTTCTGAGTTGATGTTTTTCACTATTTAGGATTTTTTAATCAGTTTTTTATTACTAAATCTTCTCTTTATAAATTTTAAAAGTTATTTAATTTTATTAATTATTATTTAATAAAAAAATCTTGCTATAGGGCACATGCACTCACCAGAGAGAGAGTGAGAAAGCAAGCTGCCAGATTGGGGACTCAAACCACGGTCAACTATATGAGAGGCTAGCACCTTAGCTGCCATGCCACATGCTGGCCCTATAATTTATTTATTTATGATTTATTTGTTTATTTTTAGTTTGCTACAGTATGCATACACTTGCCAGAGAAACAGAGAAATATACATATATAGAAAGAAGGTGGGGACCGGCAAGTGGCATGGTGGTTAAAGGCGCTGGACTCCCACATGGCTGACCATAGTTCAAGTCTCAGACCTGGTGGCTTGCTTTCTCGCTCTCTCTCTCTCTCTCTCTCTGTCTCTTTGATCAAACTGGAAAATAATAATGATAATAATAATAAATAGAGTTAAAATAAAATAATTCTTTAAAAAAAATAAAAAAAATAAAAAATAAATAAAAATTTAAAAAAAAAACAGAAAGAAGGAAAGTGAGAAATCACCCGCTGATGGGGATGACTACACTGCCATTCCTTCTCTTCCATTCTTTTTTTTTTTTTAACACTTTTTTCCTTTATTTTTAAAAAATAATTATATATTTTATTTGTGATCATTATTATTATTATTATCATTTTTAATTTGACCAGAGAGAGAAAGGGAAAGTGAGAAAGCAAGATGCCAGGTCCAGGACTCGAACCATGGTCGGCCACACGGGAGTCTTGAACTCCAACTGCTGTGCCACCTGCTGCCCCCATCTTTCATTCTTATCTTGGGATTTTTTATTTTTACTATTTTTTCCTTCAACTTGATTATATTTATTTATTTATTTATTTATTTAAATTTGACCAGAGAGGGACAGAGTGAGAGAGAGAGGGAAAGCGAGAAAGCAAATCGCCAGGATTCATACTGCGGTCTGGGACTCATACTGTGGTCAGCCATGTGGGAGTCCAGTACCCTTAACTACCATGCCACCTGCTGGCCCCTTATCTTAGGATTTTTCAGGCTACCATGCCTGGAACTTGATCTACTCAGTTGGCCATGTGGGGTCCAGCCATATTAACCTCCACACCACCAGTGGGCCCTCTTTCTAAATTATTCACACAGAGGCTTAAGTCTCTTTCCAGAGAGGTCCGAAAGACTTGCTCGCCTCCCTCCAGGGCCTAATATCATGGTAACAGCATGTCTCATGTTTTTTCCAGAGCTGTGCCCAGAATGGAATAGCTGTCTCTCTGTACTTTTATATGGTGGCTTGCATTAGTTTTCCTTTTCTATTAAGATTTGATTGTTTTGCCATCTAAATTTTTCCCTTTCCATTTAAGATGCACATATGTCTTGTAGGTAGGTTCTGCCCTGAAAATAATTGAATTATGGGAACCAGCAGTTAGCGTAATGGCTATGTCGCTGGACTCCCACGTAGTTGACCGCGGTTTGCGTCCCAGACCCGGTGGCTTAAAACTCACGCCGGGCGTGTGTGTGTGCGTGCCCAAGATCCTGAGAGGAGATGGAGGAGAAGGGATTGCAGCGTGACCATCCCCTCTGGGGGGTGATTTCTCGCTTTCTGTCTCTATGTCTCTCTCTGTCTGGCTGGTGAGCGCACGTGCCCTATAGCGAAAACCTCTCAAAAAATAAAAATAAAATAAAATAAAAATAAAATAATTGAATTATATCCAGGGAGCTAGAAAAATTTTAAAGCTGACTGCCTAGAATAACATATGCTACCTTAGCATACAGTTTCATTTCTTCTACCCTTTCCTCTTCCTTCAATAGTGAATACCTCTTAATTAGAATTTGAGTTGTTTCCTGTTCTTTTGTTACTAAGTGAAATGCTTCTCTAAACATTCCTTCACAAATTGCTTCTTTATTCATCTGAATGATCTTCTTTGGCATGTCTATCCTTTCAAAAATAGTACCAGTAAGTCAGAGGACATGCATGGTTTTTATAGCACTTATTACATTTTTTTTCTTTAAATTTATTAATTTTTTACATTAATTCACTATACATCATTACAGTATACAAATGAATTTTCCATCCAAAATACACTGTATATTGGCTCAATCAAGCGCATCAACATACATGTTATCAGCAAATAATTTTCCATTTCTTGTGTCTTGTATACTTTTTTGTTGTTGTTTTTTTGCACTTATTACATATTGCTAGACTGCTCTTCATAACTGTAGAACTACTTTATGCTGTTAATAATAACGTGCACATCAGCCTGACTTTTAAGATTTATTTATTTATTTATTTATTTTTGCCATGGGGTGTATGTGTTTGCTGGAGAGAGACAGAGAGAATGACAATGAGAAGGGACAGTGAGATCACTCCCCGGGAGGATGGCCATGCTCCAATCTCTTTTCCGCTATTTTTCTCCAGGGATTTGGGGTATGCATGCAAATGTGCCTGGTATGATTTTCAAATTGAATAACTGGCTTTGTCCATTATAATACTGTTCTTGACATGTTGTATTTTACAGGGCATTGCAGACAGGCTGGTCCTCTTGGACCTCTCAGAAGGGACTAAAGCAGGGACGATGGACCTTGACATCTTCAGCCTGCCTAACGTGGAGATTAGCAAAGGTCTGGTTACTCCGCTCAAAGATGTTTGCCGTTTTCGCTCTTGCGTTTGTGTCCTAAAATTTTTTTTAAAAAGAATTATTTATTTAATTAATTATTATTATTATTTTTTTCCACATGAGTTTTGCCAGAGAAAGAGAGAATGAGAGTGAGAAAGCTTGCTGCCAGGTCTAGGACTTGATCCACAGTCAACCATGTGGGAATTCCAGCTCCTTAGCTACCGTGCCACCTGCTGGCCCCTGTGTCCTAGAATTTTAATGCATCAAAGGACTTGAAGATTATCTAGTCCAAGAGTTGAAATAATGCTACTGGTTGTAAAAATTGGGTGTAAGAGTTTTAGTTAGCCTCTGGATCCCCATAGGACACAATGAGTTCATTTTCCTTCCTTGAAAGGAGTCCCATAGCTGTTCTAATAATCTTTTTGTAGGCCCCATACTGACGATCCCTTGGGTGGCTGGGTATTCTCTTGTGCCATTCATTGCCAGGTACTGAAGTTCTTAAGAGACTCTCAACTTTTCATATCACTTTAGGAGACTCTTGAGTACATGGACCCTAGAGGTTGTGAGGCCCTTTAGAACCAGAGGGAAATGTTTCTGCTTGTGTGTCTCATTAATCATCAATAATGGTGGCTTCAATTTACTGAAAGAATAGGAGCCTTGGAATAGAGTACAGTGCATGGTGCTTGCCACCAGTTAGGGACTCAGTAATTACCTGTTGAGTGTGGTCATCTTGGGACAACTTTTATGTTTTCCTTATTAATTTTGGTAGTACATTTCTGATAGCACTTAATTTAATTACTATTTTTTTTTTCTTTTTTTGGAGAGGATTTTGCTATAGGGTGCATGTGCGCCCCAGACAGACAGAGAGAGACAGAGAGACAGAAAGTGAGAAATCACCCCCCAGGGGGGATGGTCACGCCGCAATCCCTTCTCCTCCATTCTCCTCTCGGGATCTTGGGCACACATGCACATGTGCCCGGCATGAGTTTAAGCCACTGGGTCCGGGACTCGAACTGCGGTCGACTACGTGGGAGTCCAGTGACATAGCCATTACTCTAACTGCTAGTCCCAATTTAATTACTATTAGATAAGGTTTTTTTTTTTTTTTTTTTTTGGAGAGATTTTCGCTATAGGGCGCGTGCGCTCGCCAGACAGAGAGAGACATAGAGACAGAAAGTGAGAAATCACCCCCCAGGGGGGATGGTCACGCCGCAATCCCTTCTCCTCCATTCTCCTCTTGGGATCTTGGGCACGCACGCACATGCGCCTGGCGTGAGTTTTAAACCACCGGGTCCGGGACAAGAACCGTGGTCGACTATGTGGGAGTCCAGCAACATAGCCATTACACTAACTGCTGGTTCCCTAGATGAGGTAATTTTAAGTACAATTTAAACTAACATCTGCTGAATATATTGTATGATATGGAGAAGTACGTGTACAATTTTGAGAATTAAACTCACTTAGAAGTTTTAGTAATATCTCATCATGAGACACACAGATGATTGTAGCCACTGATTATCCTAGAGTTATCCTTTGCTTTATTTGGATTTTTCTCTAATAGTTACTATAACATTTTGGAGAGGGATATACAGATATACATACGAGCATGCGACTACACATACATGCACATACATGAGGTCTTTTAAAAGTTCATGGAAAATGCATATTATGCATGGATTTCAAAATTTGTTTGTATGTGGGCCAGCAGGTGGCATGGTGGTTAAGGGCGTTGGACTTCCATATGGCCAACTGCAGTTTGAGTACCAGACCTGGTGGCCTGCTTTCTCACTTTCTCTCTCTCTCTTTATAATTTTTAAAATAAATAAATAAATAAAGTTAAGTCAAATAATTCTTTTTTAAAAAGTTGGTTCGCACCAGAGTAAACCTCACCTTGGTTTATTTAGAAACAAGTTTCTAAATGTAGGATGGTGTTTAATAGCACTGAAGCTAGACTATCGGGACTTGAATTCTGGCTACTTACCAGCTCTATAACTTTGAGCAAGTTACATAACTTCTCTGTGTCTTAGATTCTTCATCTGTAAAATGGGGATGATATTACCCATTATGTGCTATAGATTAGATTAAATGAATAAATAGATTCAGGGCCCTTATGGAAAAAACATATTAAGAAAAAATTACAGGACTAGCAGATGGCACGGGGTTACGTTGACCTGGTTTGAATCCTGGACCCAGTGGCTTAAAACGCATGCTGGGCATGTGTATGTGCCCAACATCTCGAGAGGAGAATGAAGGAGAAGGGATTGTGGTGTGGCCAGTCCCCTTGGAGGGTGATTTCTCACTTTCTGTCTCAGTCTTTGGCGAGTTCATGCACCCTATAGCAAAAATCTTTCTCCCTAAAAAAAAAAGAAAAGAAAAGAAAGAAAACTACACATGGGTTAAAAAATCTTTTGCATTAAAATCAACTCATACTTTAATTCCATCTATCCATGAATCTTTTTTTTTTCTTTTTTTGGAGAGGTTTTTGCTATAGGGTACATGCGCTCGCCAGAAAGACAGAGACAGAGAGACAGAAAGTGAGAAATCACCCCCACAGGGGGGATGGCCACACCGCAATCCCTTCTCCTCCATTCTCCTCTCAGGATCTTGGGTATGCACACATACGCGCCCGGCATGAGTTTAAACCCCCGGGTTCAGGACTCGAGCCGCAGTCGACTACATGAGAGTCCAGCGACATAGCCATTATGCTAACTGCTGGTCCCTATCCATGAGTCTTTTGAAGTCCCTCCCAGGGTAAGTTTTTAGAACAGTACTTGGAACGACATAAGTGGTATGGAAGTGCTTACTATACCCCTTCCAGTCTAATGTCTTCTTGAGGTTTTAACTCATCACCAGTATCTGCTCTGACTCCTGGAACACAGGAGGTACTTAAGAGGATGTATGAAGAACCATAATTAGAATCTAGGACTCAGGTTTTAGATGGCCATCACAACTATATCAGAATATGAACTAAAATTGGATACTGTGTTTCCCAGTGGACACATTGCACAAGTGTTTCATTCTGAAACTTATTTAGAAAGTAGCCTCAGGGGCTTAAATAGAAGTTGATTAAAGCCTACACATTGAGCTCAGACTGTTTCTTTTTATTCATTAGATTTATCTGCCTCTGCTCATTCCAAGGTGGTGATCTTCACAGTCAACTCCTTGGGCAGTTCTCAGTCCTACCTTGATGTGGTGCAGAGCAACGTGGATATGTTCCGAGCCCTTGTCCCAGCTCTGGGACATCACAGTCAAAACAGTGTCCTGCTGGTTGCATCTCAGCCAGGTAAAAAGCTTTCTTTTAAATTGATTGTCCAATAGGTCAGTTAAATTGCCATTATTTATAAAAGCCATAAAACATTAGATTATAAAGGGATGGTCAGAGTTGTCAGTAAAATTGCTCTTATAATAAGCAACATTGTATTCCTATAACCCACCAGCCAGTTATTTCTGGGTTTTTTTTAAAAGAATTATTGTATTGAACTTTTCCAGTTATTTCTGTTTTTTTTTTTAAAAGAATTATTGTATTGAACTTTACTTATTTATTTAATTATTTTTAATTTGACCAGGGAGGGACAGAGAGAGAGAGAGTGAGAAAGCAAGCCACCAGGTCCAGGACTTGAACCCGTGGTCAGCCATGTGGGAGTCCAGTGCTCTTAACCACCACGCCACCTTCTGGCCCCTACTTCTTATAACTGCATTAACCAGAAGGTTACAACTTCCAGTCTTTATGAAATGCGTTATGTTCCAGGTTGTTAGCCCTATTTTCCTCAGTGAGAAATGGGTAAGTGCCAAGAGAAAAATGCAATGACTTATGTGGATGACATTTTTTTAAAGAATTATTTGTTTAATTTAATTTTTTTTTTTTTCAAATTTTTTTCAAGTTCCAGATCTGGTGGGTTGAAACTCACACTGGGTGCATATGCATGCGTGCCCAAAATTCTGAGAGGAGAATGAGGGGAAAGGATTATGATGTGGCCGTCCCCCTGGGGTGTAATTTCTTACTTTGTCTCTCTGTCTCTCCAGCAAGTGCACACACCCTTTAGCAAAACCAAAACAAAACCAAAACATCAACAAAAACTCTCTCTAAAAAAAAGAGTTAAATGGTATTGTACTTAAATTGGTGACCATATTTTAAAAAATATTCCTTGGGACCAGCAGTTAGCGTAATGGCTATGTCACTGGACTCCCACGTAGTTGACCACAGTTTGAGTCCCAGACCCAATGGCTCAAACTCACTCTGGGTGTGTGTGCATGCCCAAGATCCCAAGAGGA